TTGATCGGGAACGGTCACGTCTATGATCAGACATGCAGTCGCGCCAATGGCGGCGAAGGATGGGAAAATTGTCGCGCAAGCGCGAGTGAAAGATTGAAGGTGCCAATGAAAGAACAATTCAGTGATCTATGCAATTGAAGTCTTAGATTTCTTGCCGATATGTTCAGTCTTTCAATAGCTCCCAATTGATCTCACAACTGCAGAAATAAGCCGGGCTACGGCTGATAACCACAAAATTCCAGTAAATCCAGTGAATGCGGGGATTGTACCAGAAGTAATATTCACGTGTATTCAAGATGCAGTAGTCAACAGATGTAACAATGGCCAGTGACACTAAGCAACGACACCTGTTTTAGCGGGCACCTTGAGCCAAACGTTGTTGGCCAAGTAAATGGTTTGATGACCAAAACCCCGGATTACAGGATTAAGGAAATGAGTTATCATTGTCGATAACTATTTGAATAGTTTATTCCCGTTGTAAAAACCCTGACATTATGTACACTTTACAGTCAAAGGCAACAACAATATAGTGGGCTCCGTTTTGGGACCACTATGTGGTATGAACATGCATACACGGCATAGGGGTTATTCGAGTATTTTCTACTGGTACCTACCATATATAAGGCCTATTTTTTAGGCCTATGTAAGGGAATATCCCCAAAAAAAATGGCCTTATATGGTACAGTACCTCCATTTTAGGATCCTGGAATTCCCATTGAACAAACCACAAACTGTGTAAGAATTTTGGTATGACAACCCACCCACGGATATGAAGATTTGACCAATTTGACCACCAGATCACTGCAGTTGTTGGTCATTTGACCATAGCCCTTGGCTTCAAACGCGAAGTCCTCCAAAACACGTCCAGCTTGATCAGCCAGAGCTGGAGGCAGGTCACACCCAGAAAAATGTCTCGCTTTGAAAAAATGGATGGCCCAGTCTTGAGTGGATCTATCAGTTTAAAAATGGTGCCTACCCCTAAATGATAAATCATTGCATTGTTCCTTTTTTGGAAATGATGATTGAAACATATTGAAAATTGAAACATGGTTTTTCCCATCTCTTTCACATGAAATTGGCAAAAATTCTGGGCATATCTCGTTCTCAGAGCCGCATCAGTCGGCCTGTCAACAGCTCTTCGTTCTTGTCCAGCTAAGAGGCACAGGACCACACCTAAGAATCTGATGCTATCGCTTGAGAGTCATGATAATGCTATAGAAATGATGATGAACGTTGCTAAACGCATATAAAAAAATATAGTATTCTTATACATCTATATATAGATATGTATATATACCTATATCTAAAATATGTAAACCAAACATGTAGGTCATGTAGCAATGATATTTGTTAACATCTTAGCAAATATTTTACAAAACACCGACTGCCAAGTCGCCATATTGCTGATGTGCCGCGCCGAGAACTCCTCGGAACGTTGGATGGCCACCTGGTTCAACCTGCCATTTTTCATTGGGAAAACCCATGGGAAAGCTGTGGTTTTTCATAGGGAAAACATCTTTTTTCATAGGGAAAACCTGGTTCATGGTGTATGTTGAATATTAAAATGGATCTTATGATCATCCGCATGCTGTATATGAAGTAAATAGTGATTCATTTATATATGTATTGATGTATGTTTTTATTCGTTTTTTCGTTTTAATTGATTTAGGTCATTTAGGTATATCCAGAGTAATCTAGTAGAGAATCAGATAGTCTCAAAAGAACAGTGGCACAAAAAAAAAGTCCGCTGAAGTGCGCCTCTCAAGAACTTCCCGATCTTCACAGCGCAATTTGGCAAAACTTCACCTGGACATGCAGCCCGCGCATGTCGCGCGTTATGGCACATCACTTCTTTGAGGACCCCGTAGGAAACGTTTACCATCTGGTTATTTAACGTAGCTATGAGAAATCACCATTTTTAATAGGTAAATCAGCCATCTTCCATAGCTATAGTTATATAAATCACCAGAAGGTAAAAGTTTTAAAACCCAGCAATCACTTCATCCACAGGGCTGTGGCCTCGGGCCTAGTGCTGGAAATCTGCAGTGCATCAAACTCCAGCATTTTCACCAAGGTTGCTCTGCCTCCGGTGGACCAAGTCATTCACTATCAGCGCCCGTGTTCCACCATTGGATGCTGGAAGCATTTCCAGAATGTTCAAGGTTAGAAGATTCAAGAAGTAATGAGGCCCTTTAGATCACTGAAAAGAGAAAGTGTGGCTAAGACATGTTTTTTTTTGTTTATAACTGTCAATATCTGTTAATATGACATAACAATATGACATAGTAACTGTCAATATGACCCAGTCCTTGCTTTTGATCCTTGCTAGCGGAGTGATTTTTTTGCCCCAGGTCGACCTATGGCGTCCATCAACGGCTTGCTGGAAAAACCTCAGCCAACGGCCATGGAAAACATGGGTTTTCCATGGGGAAAACCACCCACTGCTGAACATCGAAGAACATCGAAGAAAATCACCATCTTTCAGCATCGAGCCCAACTTGGCAAAAGCCCAGGCGAAGACGGAAATCTGCCACAGAAACATCAGAAATCAAGAGATCGGAGACCCAAAACATCAAAATTTACGCAGAATGGTCCAATATTGACCATAGTTATAAAGTTATTTATAGCTGGTTGGTGGTTTTAACATGTTTTAACATGTTTTAACCATATATGAAATGGAAAACCAAAAATGTTTGAAGCCAACCAGCCACTGGGAATCCACCAACCGCAACATCTGGTGGATCCGCGATGATCCGCGAACCTCTCGTGGGGAGAGGTTCCCACTTTTCAGCCGCTTCTCTGCTGCAACTGCCACTGAGGAGATCAAGGGAACATCCTGTGACGCCATTGGATCACTGGCCATCTCAGGAACCAATTGATTGGAGGTACCTACCATTAATATAAGGCCTATTTTTTAGGCCTTAATTTCAGGGAATATCCCCAGAAAATATGGCCAGAAATATGGTACTAACGTACCTCCATCAATTGGATCCTGAAGATCTCCCATTGATTGGAAACCATAGATCTCTAGATCAGTTCTAGACCCTTGGATGCCACCAGTGTTTTGCCAGGTCCTTGCAGATTTGTTGCCCCAGCCTGAAACACAAAACAGGGGCCGATCCAAAAAGAGCAGAAAGTTCAAAGCTGTCGATGGTTGAAAAAAATTCTGGGGCTGAGACCATCATGCCGTGTTCGACAGGTCTTGCGTGCCCTTTGCCTGACACAACTTGTGTCAGCCACTGGTTTTGAAACCACCAGCCTGGTGGCAGCGAAAAGGGCCTTGGATGCCTTGGGCATAGCAAAGCAAGTCACTGCCGCCTAGGGCTGGGAGGGGTGATCATGGCTCCCTTGATGCTCTGGCAATGTTCGTATCCATGTTGCATCATTTTGTCACCCTCTAATTTACGAAGGAAGCCGAGGAATGTGCTGAAACAGACCGGGTTCCATGTTCATATCAAGCGATTTGACATGTTCAATGCTCTTATCCTAGCTTGTTCAACCTGAAATGGGACCGCAGTTGGGTCAAGTTGATTGATTTTCATCTAGATGTACACGCATATGTCGCAGTAATTTCCATATAATATAGGTGTGTATTCACATGTGCATGTTGTATGTATTCATCTATCTATCTACCTACCTACCTACCTACCTAGTAAGGGTTCTCGTGGATTCGCTATACATCTCGATCCCAAACCCCCTCTTTGGCGTTGACTATTGGATCAGATGGCCTGCAACCATCTCGGCCCATGTCATGAGCCACCTGCCAGCCATTTTTGAGCCGCAGCCAAGCCGCAAGACATGTCATGGCCCTGTCATGGCCCAGTCATGGCCATCCATATCTTCCATTTTTGCATCCAACATCATCCAACTTGGTCATTCCAGTCATTCCATAGCTGAATCTTGCGGCCATTTGGGGATGATTTCCCTATAAAAACCATTGATTCCATGTCATTCCAACTTCACTGGTTGGTGGTATACCTACCCCTCTGAAAAATGATGGAGTGAAAGTCAGATTGGATCATCATCCCAACCATTGGGGAAAATAATCCAAATCTTCCAAACCACCAACCAGTTCAAATTTCCAGCGGAAAAGGTCGCCTGCGTGGCCACTTTGAAGTCGAGAACCCCTCCGCAGCTCGGAGCTGCGGTCATCGTCCCGAAGCCTCGGCTTCGGAAAAATATATCCCCCACTGGGATCTAGTAATAGTAATAGATATTAATGATACACCAAGAATACTATGTAGATATATGAATCTATATAGTATCTATGTACCAATAGTGTATCTATATAGTATCTATGTAATAGTGTATGACAACTATTACTATATAGATATATGATTCATATGATACACCAATAATAGTGCATCAAATACCCCAAGAATGTTAGACATATCATGATCCACTGGGATCTGTAGCTGGAAATGGTTCATTTCCGCTGCTGGGCTTGGGAACCAGGTAGGGACTGACACCGCTCGGACGGGTCCAGCCAATGCCATCCTTGCTGTTCCCTGAAGTTGCAGATTGCCATGTTGATCCATGTTGGCTTATGCTGGTTGGTGGTTTCAACCCCTCTGAAAAATATAAAAGTCAATATATGGAAAAATAAAAAATGTTCCAAACCACCAACTAGTATGGGTCTTTGAAGAAACTCTCTCCGTGTTGGATCTTGTTGGCCATGTTTGGGGACTGAGATGACTTGGGGCTGCTGTAACTTCGTCTCTCTGACGACCATACATCCAGTTGGTAATCCCCTCAAGAGCCAAAACGAGTTCCAGGGAAATTGCGCACTGCAAGCATCATAAGATAAAATATTGCCGGAAGAATCAGCAAAAGAAGTTGCGCACAATGACAGTAGCCTAAAAAGTTAGCACAGTAGCCTGGGCTTGGCACACTCTCATTATTCTCATTCCACTTCAACCTTTGAAGTTTCCAAGGCCATCCGAGGGCCCGCTGGCCTACGCCGACAGATCTTTTTCGAATCAACGGTCACCTCAGTCAGCTCAGTCAGCTCTCATCTTTTCAGAGAGCTGCCAATCACGACCTTGGAAAGCGCACCGCCAAAGTTGAAATGGAAAATGTCATGGACATGTCTGTTGTCTTTCAAATTTGGGTTAAAGATTACAAGGGATTAATAAGGTTTAAACACTGGAACAAGGAACTTCAAAGATCGTTAAAGATTGTTAAAGATTAAGGTTCAAAAAAACTGGCACTTCACAACTTCCTCTCCAGTCTCACTGGCACTTTTGCAAATCTTTGCCCGAGCTTGCATTCGCGTCATCCCACTACTGGTGTATGCTCCTTATCTATCCTGGATTCTGGCACATCCAAACGAAGTCCAACACATGACCGCTTAGGCTGCCCTTCATGTCCGATTCTACAGCAACTGCCATTTTCCACGGCTACACAATGCTACGCATGGCTTCCGGGCTGAGGCGGGAAAGAATTGCTCGCTCAGAACCTCGATCCCACATAATCCCACCCTGTCCTTTGCGCAAATTTGCTGCATCTGAATTACCATCTGGTTATGACTAACAGTTCACCATGGAAAGATCCACCCATGCTATTAATAGGTAAACCATCTATTTCTATGGGCCATCGAAAAACCATGGCGAACTGTTAGTCATAACCAGGTTGGGTAAATGGAGAGATTAACTTAGCTGGCCGCTTTCACGCGGTCTCTTTCGCCATCCATATGCCTCAGAAAAGTCTGCCAGAATTGGCGGGCGGCTAGCATGGCCACTGCTGGGGAACAGCAAAACGCAACCAAAGCAGTTTTTGGGGCTCTTCCAATGGTTGCGGAGCCCCATGGGAGCCCCATGCAAAATCATTTATCAGGGGCGGTGGTCGTATCTCCTCTTGCTGTTTTGCGCCGTTCGACTGCTGGATTCCCACTACACCCATTCATTCCAGTTGCTCATTGAATCTCATTGAATCCCATTGATCTCATTGATCTCATTCATCTTATTGATCTGGTTGCTGGTCATTCCAATAGGTTTCCCAATTTTTCCCAGCAAAAACAAAAAACTCTGAGGCCTCTGGGGCCTTGACACATCGCCGCACTCGCATGCGCGCGGACCTTTTGTCTGTCGCTTCATCCACTAGGATCTCTAAGCCTCGCACGAAGGCCACTGGCTGATCACTGCTTAGATGTTTGCAACCTAGTCACAATATCAATATATGTATATATAGATATAGATATAGATATAGATATAGATATAGATATATATGTGTGTGTGATATGTATATATATATATATCAGCATTCAATACTAACTCGATATCTTCGGATGTTTCAAACGATGTTGAACATTTTCTTGGCTTCTCCCGACCTCCTTCCAGCAATCCTTCGAAGCCTTCTCCAGGCGTCCGACTGCCGGTGGGCAAGAACCTGAGGATTCATGGTGCACATGGAATCCTCGAGGCCAAAAAAAACTGCAAAATCCCTGGCAAATGGGTTTTTAATTGTTAATCATGGTTAGTAGTGGTTAATGATGGTTAATAATGGTTAATGATGGTTAATAATGGTTAATAATATGAGTGATTCTCGGTTTTCCAATGGCCAAGGGACTTGATGCACGCACCCAGGGTGGACGTTCTCACCTGGCTGTTCTCAAGATTCTTTTCGCAACGCAAAAGTCGTGTTGCATGATCCAACATTAAAAAATCGACGCCTCAACCGGCGTCTTTAGACCAGCTTTCCTCATGGCGGAGCTGTTCTGATTGGCTCCACGGCAATAATTGAACCTAACGTGGCCAGTGGGCAGCTGGCTAAACGTGGCAAGGATTTATGGATCATCTGACTAGAAACCATACTTTAGCTGCAAAATCTTGAAAAAATGTATGTAAATGTCAGTTCCTCAATGTTTCTATAAAACTGGAGAGGCCATAAACAAGCGCTGCTTGGTGGTATACCTACCCCTCTGAAAAATGATGGAGTTCGTCAGTTGGGATGATGATTATTCCCAATATGATGGGAAAGTCATCACCCAAATGTTCCAGTCACCACCACCCAGTGGTTTTTTTAAAAAGTGGTTAAAAAAGTGAGTTTTCCCATTCAAAATGGGTGGATCTTTCCATGAAAAAAATGGTGATTTTCCACCAACCAGAAGTGGATCTGGCTGCATGGCTGGCCGCGCATGGCGCTGCGCATGGCTGCGCTGGAGGCTGGGTTTCTGGCTCGACCCAACCTCGCACCCAGGCCCTGGCTCGGCGAGCATTTGGCACGTCTAAGCGCCATAGCTCGGGGCCCACCTTGGTAATTCCAATGGTGATTCCAATGGTGATCCATGGATAGTCATAGCCCATAGAAATAGATGGTGTTTAATGGTGTTTAATGGGATTTAATGGGATTTACCCTGATCCATGGATATTCATAGTTAATGATAGTTAATGATAGTTAATGATAGTTAATGATAGTTAATGATAGTAACCAGGGGTTAATGGTAATTAGTGATAGCTACCCTCTGGTTATGTCAACAGTTTGCTATTGAAAATGACCATAGAAATCGTGGATTTTCCCAGCTAGACAATGGTGATTTTGTATAGTTATGTTAAATTACCAGAGGGTAAGCTGGTTGCTGGTATACCTATCCCTCTGAAAAATGATGGACTTCGTCAGTTAGGATATGAGTATTCCCACCGGTATCTGGTTGGTGCAATTTCACCATCTTGAAAAATGATGGAGTTCGTCAATGGGAAGGATTATCCGATTACCCCATATATGAAACCATATTAAATGGAATATAAATGTTTGTTACCCACCGGTGTATCCTTTTATGACATCCATGGAAAATTAAAAAAATGTTTGAAAGCACCAATCAGTGTTCGGGTCACTAAAGGTAACTGGAGGGAGAAGAGTTGATGGAAAAAAAAACATGTTCTCTCCCATGACTCCATCTCACGTCCCTTTTCTTAATGCAAAAAAAGTGAATAGAGCTGGTTTTCTTCTGAGACTTGTGGCCCAAGCCTGCAAAAATTCTGCAAACCTGAAGTCGTATGGTTTATCACCATCATTTCCAAACAAAAATAAGAAGTACCTTACCTCGAGGAAAAAGGAAACCATGTCCCAAGTCTTGATGGCTTTACTGGCGTGCACTCTATGATCTTCCAATGTTTCCTGGTTCTTACATCACTGTATAGCGACTGTCCTCATTGTTTTTCAGTTCCAGTTGAGCCATGATAACTACCTGTATCCCATCCAATTATACCATTATGTATATATCGGTTGATAGGTATCCCATTAATTACGCTTTCGTTCATAATCCCCAGCCAGGTAGGTGCCCTGAACCCCCCACCATGACCAATCAACACTCATGCGTCAACTATATTCCCATGTTGTTTATAGTTGAAACCCCATCTGAAACCCCTACGAAATTACCATTCAAACCCAATTTTTTACAAAGACATCACCCATATCTCAATGGTTCACACGGTAGAAACTACACACCCACATGTATCACATGTTTGCCGCTTAAATTAACCATTTTTGCACAATCACGGGGTATCAATCCTGGTCCAATCATCATGGAAAAATCATGTTATCACCAGCAACATGATCGATGGCTCACGACTGTCAACCAATAATAGCGGGTCAACTATGGAATTACCGCTCAGTTATGGAATTACCGCATTATTATCCCATTACTATCCCATTGCTATCCCATTGCTATCCCATTGCTATCCCATTGCTATCCCATAATATTTTCCCATGATTTTCCGATATTATCCCATCCCCATTAGATTGTTTCCAATTTTTTCTTCCATTGTTATCTTCCATGTTTCCATGTTTTCCATGGGATAAATATGGAAACATATGGAAACCAAATCTTCCATTAGATTATGCCTTCCATATCTTCTGAGCCATGCCATCCAGTCAACCCATCCATTCTGAGCCACCAAGGGCAGCAGGATCTCATCAAAGTCCACGTCGCCGCTGCCCAACACCGTGATCTCGGGCACATCGATGCCACGACGCAGGGTGAACTGTAGGACCTTCGCCAATGCCTGGCCCCGGGAAGATGTAGCCACATGGGATGGATACCCTCTGGTTAGGTCAAACATAGCCATTGAAAATGGCCATTGAAATAGTGAGTTTTCCCATTAAAAATTGTGATTTTCTATAGTTTTGTTGTATGTTTACCAGAGGGTCTTATGGAGATATCATGATTGTTGTGGAAATATGTACTTTATATCCATTATCTACCTGGTTGCTGGTATACCTACCCCTCTGAAAAAAAAAATGTCAGTTGGGATGATGACATTCCCAATATATGGAAAAATAAAAATTGTTCCAAACCACCAGCCAGCTAATATATAATGTATCCATATAATATCTCTATAACATATCCATAACATTCATAATTATATTGACGAAATGGGGATGGAGAAGATGATCATCACCGCTTCAACTCTCACCGCTTGTTGGCTGCTTCTGAAAACTGCGAAAATCTGTTGCCCATTGCCCATTCGGGCGACGCCCAGGTACTAAGGCCAATAAGATTGGTCTGACAGCACTTTGTCGTTGTTTTTTTCGGGACTTGAGCGACTTGGGAATTGTATGATTGTAAGCAAGTGATACCCTCTGGTAAACTAACAGTTTGCTATTGAAAATGGTGAGTTTCCATAGTTACGTTTGTTTACCAGAGGGTATCTTGCAACTGTAATCTTGATGTTTTCCGAGTTTCTGCATGTTTCAACACTTCCAAGTTGTAGGTTTTGTTGATCAAATGCTGTCAGCAGAGCCGAAAGGCAGTCGCCAAAGGTCTCAGACAGAGCTCAGCTCAGACTCTTTGTTCTTGAAGGCCGAATCCTTGAGGAAAGTCCGTTTGTTTTGCATCAAAATTCGGGTTGTACACACAAAAAAGCTGGCATTTATGGAAGTGAATGGATGTGTATAATCCCCCATACTTATACATATATATTGTGAACAAATGAATCCTTGTTCTGGATGTAGTTATCAATTGCGGTACCTGTTATGCCAGTATTGCCGGACACTGATGGTGCATGGCAAGCGCAGCTCGGACCCTTTTCCTCGCACACGGACTTGAACCATGAGCCTTGAGCCAGTACGGCGTCCAGATGTACAGTTAAGCATGTACATCACAAGTGTCCTAGTGTTCAGTTCCCTTTGACACCCCCCATGCCCGTGGTATTCTTCGAACCACGGACACGAGAGAGGGAACTTTGAATTAGATTGTTTCTGCTACTTGAATTACGCCTATGTGCATAAAACGTGCCATTCGGCTCCCCCTTCCCCACATACCCGTCGGGAATAATGGTTCAGGGTTCGCCTACTCTCTGGCTGTCGATGCTTCGGCGCTTTATCAAACTGTACAACGCGAATTATTGCTAGCTAACATCTACTTTTCTACGTTGGCTAGGCATACCACTCACCCGTCGGGAGAAATGGATCGCTTCGCTACTAAAGATTTACAATGCTAACTAACGAATTCACGTGCACAGTGCAGAATTCGTGCAGATTGGGAATATCAAAAATCTTGAACCTAAGCGAATTATTCTACTGCCTCGCTCAGAGTCCACTCAGTTGATCCTTTCCTGATCATCTGTTCATAAAGACAATACACATCTCATATTCCAGTGATCATCTTGACGGATCGAAGTAATTGGTTTACTGCTCACGGCGGACTTTCTTCCATTGAGGTGCTGTTGGAGTTCTCTCCCATCCTGCCGCACGTTTCGGAGCAGCTTTCGGCGATGAAGGCTTTGCAGGCGGTGCCTTTGATGGTTCATGGGATTTCGGCATAGCCTTGCCCTTTGGTGCACTAGCCGATGAGGATGATGCTGAACCAGTGCCTTCAGGTGTCTGTGAAGGTTGCGCAGTTGGTTTAGCAAACTTGGAAGCTGCAGTATGTCCAACCGCTTTGAATACTTCACTCACCACTTCGTCGCCAAGGGTTGGAGCCATCTTCGCTTTCATCTCGGTCTTTCCCCTCTGCGCCTCGGCCTCGGCCAGCTGAATAGCATAAGCCATCTTGCTGACAAAGTTTTGAGGTAGAGGAATGCCACACTGTTGGGCTGCAAAGAGCAGTTCTACTCTCTGTTCTTTCTCCCTCAGGCTCAGATATACCGAGAAAGCTGGGAGTTCGATGCAGTTGGGGAAGCCGTGGCTCCCGGAGCGAAAGAAGGTGTATGACTCGTGCTCCGGAAAGGTTCCTTTGAGCAGTCGTCGAAGGAAATTGCTGATGGTTACTCGCATCTCCTGTTTCCCTTGGGCATCAGCCTGCATTCGGTTCATTGGCATGAGAAAGCCTAATGACTCAGGAGTGTACCCAGCGCGTACCAGAAATTCCATCATCTTCTCATAGATCTCTAAAGTCTTGATGACAGGCATCATCATGTTTCTTGGTCGCCCTGAGTATAACTTCTCTCCTTCTGACCATGAATTCCTCTTCCCTTTCTGCTGAAAGAGTTCATCCAATTCCAGCTCCGTCGGTCGCTTGAGGTTGCCATCCTGGTCTTCTCCTGTATAAGGACAGAAGTCGTCCAGGTCCAGCCGGACTCGCTTGGTTTCCGTCATCATCTCATAGTACTCCTCTGGGGTCAGAGTGACTCTCTGTTTGTAGTAGAGCCTGAACATTGTGATGACCTTTGACATGACAGCATTGTCATACAAGTGAGCCGCGGCCTCGGAGACATCATTGTTGATAAGTCCGTCTTCTGGCATACCCTTGCTGCCGCTCTCGAGGTTCTTGGTCCATGCTGGAAGTTTGGAAGAGGATTCATCTTCAGGTTCGACTTCCATTTCATCTTCGTCTTCTTCAACGATTTCGTCGTCTTCCTGTTGGGCTTCCTCCTCCTGATCCATTTCTTCATCATCGCCTTCGTTGTAGTCGACCTCGTCGGGATTGAAGCCATAGTCGTTGGATTCGGATACGTTTTCTTGTGCTTGATGGACCGTATCCTTGAACAACGATTCTTCTTGTCGACGAACTTCTTCATCGATCTCTTTCTTCGTGGCCTCATCTTCATCGTCTTCAGGAGCTTGTAGCCGATAGGGACGGATTCCACAACTTTCCAGTTCCGTCCAGCAAACTAGACACACTGCTAGTTTTGTCGGCGTCTCATTGAGACAGTGAGGACAATGGCGGCAACCTGATGTTTGCACCCTTTTGCGTTCGACTATGTAGTCAATCAGCTTGATGCGGGCCAGGTATTGTTCTTGTCCGCCAGGCTTGATGAGGTCGTTCTTGAATTGGTTGACGATGTTCATGGCATCCATGGCGGTTTCGTCAAACGGTTGATCTTCGGCGTCGATGCATTGACTTGCAACCCTCAAGATGGACTCCTTGGTGGCTACCGTTCTTGATTTGACAGTTCCAGACCGGACTACCTGGTCGTCGCCCGACGGGACGAACAACCGGAGCCATGTCTTATTGTTTTGGTCCTTTGGGTCCTGAATCCATCCTCCTTTGATTGCCGAGAACGGGATGATCTTTGGTGAGACGATCTGTCCCGAGTCAGTCAGTCGACCGCCATATTCCACCATCAAGGTCTCGGTCGGGATGAACAAGCAGATGTAGTCCCCCTTTCGCGTATCAACGCTCTTCGTGATAGTCCATGATCTGTGATCCCATGGCACATACGGGTTGAAGAACGTGAACATCCGATGACCTTCTCCAAGACCTCCTGGAATTAATCCCTGCCTCCAAATGCTTCGAAGGTTGGTCTTCTTGGTGATGTGGAAACAAACCGGTAACGACAAAATGGTGTTGGGCGCGATTGGATGTGAAAGTAATGAGGACAGCAATGAGACGTCGTCCCTTGAAGATCCTTCCTTGTGCCCCGTAGGAGCACGGACCGCCACAGGGTAGAGCAGTAGACCTTCATCAGGAATGTTCGTGTTCGCATCGACTTTGTTGTCAATGCACGTCAGGCTGGTGCGCTCGATGTCCTTGTTGATACCAAATGCCAAGACTTGTTCACGAACACGACGTCCATACCGGGCACAGTGGAACATGATCTTGAAGAGCAACGTCATGCGGTAGTTTGCCTCATCGACATTCCATGCACTCTGATCATTTGCTCTTCCTTTTGGAGCAAGGAATACATGTGGCCAGCGTGCGTACTCGTGCCTCCAGATAGACTCGCATTTGAGCACCTCCTCTATGGGCACCCAGCCGGCGTCATCACATGACAGACTCTGTTGTTCTGATACCTTCCCCACGTTGTGCCGCAGGATCCTGTTTAGTGATGTACTCACCTTGTCCTCGTAGGTATTGAGTCGGTTGCCAGTCTCGAATCGGTAGTTGGCCGCATATTCTACACCGCCAAAGTAAGAGCAGTTGAAGAAATGGGCCCCCGTGGTCGGGATGATTTTCAAGAAACCATCTTGCGGCGCCTCGACTCTCTTGTAGAAGGGCTTCCTGATGTTGTTATCAGAGTAGCTTGCCATAAAGTCCGGCACTGACCAAGAGTCACCTCCTCCTCTGACAATAGCGTCTCTGACCACTTCGTTGAGGTCAACAATGTTCTGTGGTCCTAGCTTTGTAACATCACGTCCTTCTATGCAGAATCTGCCATACTCATCGAGGTCACCAACTTCAGACATAGTTCTGATGCTGTCGTACCATTGGTGTTCACCAAACCTCGATTTTGTAGGTTCATCCGTTTGCCCCGACCCATCAGTAGCACCTGAACCGTCCTTCTTGTGCTCGGGAGGCTCCATATCGACGTCATCAGATGTTGGACTATCAGCCTCGAGCGACGCTCGGACGGCCTTTAGCACTTTTCTGACTTCATCCCTCTTCTCATGTTCACATTCAAGATGGCCATGTTGAGTGCTACCACAATACAAGCACACGTTGACATCCTCAGAGACGGTGAAGAGTTTTCCCAACGCATCCAAAAGTTGTTGTTTCCCGGAATTCTCTGAGTCCCTGACCACATCGGTGGGGTCGTTCGCTGGCTCATCAGCTTCCTCCTCCCCAGGGTGAGCCGACGACTCGTCACCTGGCTTGGCATCGGCATCAGTGCCCATGCTGGCGTCACCCCCTGTGATGTTGTTCTTCCTGCGATAATGAGAGAATACCTGATCCTTCTCCCAGTCCGTGAGGCAGCAGAAATTGGCCAGCGAATCATATCCGGGGATTGCGTGGATGAGCTTCATGACCCTTTCGGCTTCTGCAGTTTGCAGTGTGCAGTCGAAGGATCCCCGTCTCTTGTCATTGATGGTGCTCGAGGTTCGGGAGGTCGATGTAAATTGAGCCAGTGCCTTTTCCAATCCATTGAGATACTCAGCTGGATCAACACTAGCATTGAAAACATCTACGACTCCCTTGGCCATATTGGCCACGTCCAAGACACCAAGCCAGAACTCGATGATATCTCCAGTTTTCTCGGCAGATGCACGGGAGAATCCAAAAATCTCGTTCCTCTCCTTCACCTCGGGAACGGCAACCTTCTCGAAGAAGTCTTTGTATGCGACATTTCCGCAATCCTTTGTGACTCTATAGATCAAAAGCCACTTCTTTGCAACATCATCGAAAACTCTTTCGCGATATATGCTGAATTGCTTGCCGCGTCCGTTCCGGAAAATTTCCAGAGCTTGCCTCTTCGAAATTCTGACTCCTCCCATGTGAGATAGAGATTTCATCAAGTGCTCCCCATACGCCAACGATGCATTTGAAATCAACGAAGACGCAGTAAATGTGAGCCATGTTTGGAATCCTTGATTGATGTCAACAATGTCAACACCAAGATCCTCGAATGCAACCTTCAACCTAGCTGCAAGGAGTAGTACGGACTTCCTGGCCTCCAATGTGGGAGATGAACGCTTGTAATGGTCCTGGG